TGAAATATGTGTGAAGGTATTGTTTGTTCATCCGTTTATCCTTGAACCGTTTTTTCATCGATTCTACTCTAACTATTATTGAGATAATGTGAAACATTATGAAAACATGAAGAATATTGATCGTTTTCTCACTAATTTGATTACTGAGTTATTTGATTCGTTTTCATCTTCATTTTTAATAAATCATGAATACGATATTGTGCATATTTGTTGGAGTAAACAGGGCTTCTTGATAAACTTAATCTACTAATCCAGTACATGTATTGAAGGTGTTCTTTGTTTATCCGTTTATCCTTGAACCGTTTCGTTATCCAAAACAATCCTCAGCAAATATATTCCCTTTGACTGAATATGACTTTCGTTCTTCCCTCGTTAACGTAAACATCCTACTTGGAGACAGTCAGTGTACATGACCTAGTTTTCATGGTCATTCGTCAATCGTGTCACTATCCCTTTCAAACAAAACAAACGACAGTAAAATAATAGTAAAGGCAGCAACAGGAACAATTTGTCTTCAGCTATATGATTCAAAAATGTCTGATGAATCAAGTGTTATTGATAAACCCTTAGCTTCTAGTAATTGGTGTAGTCATGGCCCTAATTCATGTTCTGTTCAACATCTTCAATATGCTTCCAAAAAATTTAACTCAATAATAATTGTTCTTTATCGCTTTGGCCAGCCAAAAAATAATTACAAAGTAAATAGGACTTATATTGCATTTTCAGAAAGATTATTCAAATGCAGGCTGTTACTCCTGTCAAATGACAAGTGGTTGAAAGATGGTGAATGTTTTTATGTTTCAGGATAAAAAAGAAGCAGGAATAAATATTCAAATTATTCAGGTCGATTTCGCACTGAATTAAACAAACACTCTTTGAATCAATTTCCTAATCTAGTAACAAATAGACACTCTAATTATCTACAGACTACGTACATGAAAACCAATCTAAATGCGAAAGATTGCTATTCTGGTGAATAATCAATATCAAATAATCAAAAATTTCAGAAGATTTTCAAAATTGAAAAACTGGTCAATAGAATTAATTTACTTTATTTCACGATGTTGTATGAAGATATATTCGCTTCATATCACGATTACGTGACGTAGTTCCATCAGCATTTGTGCATTGAAAAGTAACTTCAGTAGACTAAAATGAATGGCCGGTATTTCCCAGAAAAACAAATTGTGCTTAGACTGTTATATAAGTAATAAGGTCAGTTAGTCAGTGTAGAATCTTTTTTGAATGTTTTTTGGAAAATCCCTCCATGTATATATATTTGTGTTATGATACGACTAACTCTTTCTGTTGACATTTTGGTACTCTATTGGATTCCATTTTGTGATTTCATCATTGTATATTGTTATTATTTCTATATTTTGTACTTATATTGAAGTTTTTGTGTTTGCTTCTGAACTGTACATATGTTGTTTAAATTTGATATAATATGGCTACAGCCATTTTTGGATTTGATACCGTAGCAATTCGGACTGGAGGCACTTATTCTTCCAGTAACAGATACCCACCAAGGTAAATTGGACTTGAAATGTGTAATAATAGTTGGGTGATTGTCTGAGTTTCCATTTTATATTTAATAAAGATCAATTTCTCCCAGAATTATCGTGTTTTGGTTTTGTATCTGGGACGTTGAGTACCAACCTGCACCTATAGGAAACGGAGTGAATAGCTGGGGTAGAAATTTCATCTACAGTCACTTACAACGTTGAATTTACTCTGTTCATCGGCTCTAATGGTCATTTCGCAATATCATAGTGAAAAAAGAGAGTTTATGGGAAGAAATAACCATTCACATAACATAGTTTGGTGTGATAAATCATAGGGATGATGTTTAATTCATAAGAATACAATTTCATTGCAAGCAACTAATCAATGTGTTTTTAACGTTGCAAACGATGTAATTCAAGGTCTCTAAATATCGTTCACTTTCCTCTTGCGGACGTCAAACATCTACCTACATGACTTAATCTACTTGTTTCTCACTTCTTGAAATTGTTCATTATTTCGGTTCAGCCGCCGCTGGCTTTCTTACAGCCTATTTCTTCACCTCAAAACGCAGCTCGTCGGTCAGCCGGTGTTTGTGCAATTGTAACACATGTACCAATCACTTCAACCGAAGACGTTTTACTACTTCCTCCATTGATATAATTTCTCCACCTAGTTCTCGTTTCTTAGAAAAGGGCTTGCTCAGTTTATTATCCCTAAATAAATCAACAATGCTTATGAGAAATCTTCAATGTAATACTGATTACTTACAAATGTCTCAGACTCTCACTGTTAATGTTTCACATTCATCATGTAGGTGGGAGCCAAATGAAGGAAAGTGCACTTCTCTTTCGATTACAAAATGGATATCCTGCCTACGCGATAAATGCCACAAGCTCGCAAAAACCATCCTGTGATAATCTTGAGGATTATTAACTACTATTGTAGGGAATGGCAACGAGTGTCAATTTTCATAAACCTGATCTTTGGACTTATATCCAGTTTTGGTCTGCTTTTCACACCACAGCATTCAAGTTAACTGATAAGACGCCTTGCAACCTGATAAATTATCTAGGGTTCATACCAAAAAAATAGAGACCTAAACAAGCGTTCCTTATATTTTGAGATCAAGATCACTACCATATCAAGAAGATGACCGAATTAATGGATGCTATTTAAGCTAATAAGTTCACTAATAACTTAAAAACGTGATTTTCGACTGTACAGACACTTGTGAAAACGACGGAAAAAAAAACACAAATAAAAATTCTTCTTTCTTCATCATGCTGCATACCGAAGTAGGTCAAACGGATGCATGAAAAACAGTCTGTCGATGAGTATGAAAGTCGATGTGAAAAGCAGCTTTTGGGCAAATTGACAAAACGTTGCCAGCTGCATAGATTGATCGCAGAGCGTAACAAACATTCCGAGCTAACAACGGACTTGAGTTTACAAAACACCGCGTCACATTCTAGTCTAGCTCCAAATAAGGTTCCTCTGCAGCTGACAGTTCAATTCACGTATCAGAGTAATGATCGCTGAATTATAAATGAAACGTCCTTTGAACTAGAGTAGTGAGCCGATATTAAAGGGAGTGAGTATGAACTTGATCGATGGAATGTTCTTTAGATGCTTCGGCATCAACTGAATCGTCGCCTTCATGGAAAAACATCGACGTAATTCTGGTTAGAAAATAGTTGAAAACTGTGTCATCAGGTTGCTAGTATCTGCTTTAGTTCGTGTTTTCTCGATACCAGGTGGCATACGGGACATCGACAAATCTGAGTAGGTCGAACCATTCAAAACCATTAATATTCATATCAGTGGGGTTTTATCACATACCCTAGGAAAAGTCAAACGTCTGAAAGCAACGTGACGCCATAGTTGTCCTAATAGAAGGTGATTAGCACGATTATTTTGAACTGTTCTTTGCAGCCTTGAGCTCCCATTTCGATCCGAAATGTACGTGAGGTACCAGACACATGTGAAAACTAAACGGATGCCTTTTATTGATGAGAGTTATGACTTTTCATTTGTCTTGGGAATAACCTTAGCAGTTAAATATTAGGCTCAACGAATCGGAAGAGGATATATGATCAGTCTTACGGATCCTTTTAGAGCGGTTTTGCTTACTCTTTGTGAAGAACGCATGACACACGGCCTATCGGTCGATGTTGCAACGAAATATAATATTATATTATCTCTTACCCAAACGTCTCTGCCTTGAAAATAATAAATGAGTTCTGGAGACCTAGCGACCCAAGCAAGAGAATATAATCAGTGTTCACCAGCTAAGTGCTGTACAAGCTACGCATTTACACGCAAGACTGAAAGTTTGTATAACGACTCTTATTTGAACAGTTGCTCACGTGCATTTTCGATTAATTTCGCATTTAGGCGTAATGGTCTTTTTCCAGTTTCTAACATCGATCTGAGATTGAAGGATTTATGATGAATTTTAGTCTCTAGAAACAGTTTTAACGTCGATGCTCTGTTCAGGTTTCTTCCTGTTTCTTTCATTATTTATCACAATATTATATTATGGTTATGTCAATCATCGTCGATTGACAAAAGAGACTTACTGAGACAACGAACATGAAAGACGAGGTTCCGACAACGTTTCACGAAATCAGTCGCTTTATCAGTAACAAATCTGTCCGCAATATCATTTTGTCATACTTTTGGTCACAGTTCAGTAAAGTATCAGTCACTTTTTTTTAGCATCAACATAGTTGTACTCTGCCAGGCTTTTTGGATGACAAGTCAAATCGGTGCAATTGATGTAGTTGCTTTGAAGCTGACGACATGGCAAATTACACTGGACCACAATTCACATTCTCGAACGTAGGTTCAAGGTTGCCGCACTGTTTTTTAACACTTGATCAATTGTGACGATGAATATAGAAACTATATCGTAATACTAACTAATGGTGGTGTGAATAAATAAATCAAGCTGGGTTAAAGTAGATTATATAGGGATTAGGAAAACCAGGAAATAAAGATATTCCGTACTGACATTAGGTGATCGATGATTATATGCGAAGAATCTAACAATGGACATCTGCCTAACGTCGAATTATATTCTTATGTTGTTTTGCTGATACAGCTTTGTATACAAACCTGTTAACTTTGATTTGATTTGACTTTTTGCAAGACTCGATATTACTTGTGTTACATGCAGACGATATCTGCTATTGATAATGTAATTTGATGAATTGTATACAAAAGAGTTTTGAGAGGACATCAATTTGTGACAATCAAGAACAAATTTTTGCTCAACAAAATATTTTATGACTCGCAATTATTTATTTATAATCGTCCATTACTGCTTCAACGAAAATGCCCAGTGTAAGGAAGGCAATCAAAAAAATAATTGACATGAAATAGTGAAATAATCATCAGTATCATGAACTCAAACAAAAATATAAAACTCATATAAACTGCTGAGTAATCTTCCACTTTTATGTATTTCTTCAAATAGTATGCTGTGAGTTCAATTACCTGTAATTCGAGAAACAGTACACTTCAGTTAGAAAATCACCAGACTAATTTAACACGAAATATTTACCTGAAAGCATATAGAGCATTCACTGATGGTCTTACTGTACAATCTCTAACATGTCACCATGATTTCAATTCTGAAAATGATCAGTCGGTGATTTGTTTTATTATTTGTTCATTATCTGAATACAAGAATACTTATATGGACAGAAGAAACGAAGCGATTCATTAATCTTCAATAATCAACACGTTTCTGTCCAGCAAATGTATTTTCGAAAATAATGATGCTACACACAAAAATCTAAAATGAATTATCTTTGTTACTAAGTCAAAATAAGATTTTCAGTGTGCAGTACGTTATCTTACAATTCGCGGTATACAGTGTGACATAGAATTATTTATTTTTTAATTCAACCGCTCATCAGAAACTTACGATAAACATTGCCTCGCACCAAAAAATAGCTGAAAAAATTGAGAGTACGATCTGGAATACAAAGGAAGAAGATTTTTATGAGTATTTGATTCGTATTCATATAGAATTATTCTTTCAAAGATATGCTGACTTTCATGTGTGAACTTGAAAGAATGGACGAAAGGACGATAACACCTCAGCATAATAAACATCAATGACGGTCGTCGTCGAATAAAAGAAGTGATCGCCGATTTTTCGATGTTAACGTTTATGATTATTTGACCAACATACTTGTGTGCACAAAAATTGCAAAATAGTTTGCCTAAAGCTTTCGTAACATAAATAAATGAACATGAATCTGTTTTGAGTGCACGCATATAACAGATAAACAAGGAATATATTTCTTTTTATTGTTGTGCCTATTGCATAAAACATCGTTATTAGGTGATATACATGATTAACATAAAACGTCAAGTCATTAATCACTTCTGATATGTTGACGCTGATACTTACGAACAGCCTACTGTGCACCCACTCGAAGTTACTTATAACATTGAACTGTAAGTAAGGGAAAACCATTACAACTGTCACCAATGCAAAACACTTTGGATAAGGATTAAATTAAATGTATATATAAATATACATCGAAATACAATCATTTGTCATAAACGTACAATAAGCGTTCGATCTTGCCAACGTTCGATGAATGGGGGAGGAAATAAAATCTGGAATAAACGGCAATAAACTATTTCATCACAAATTATTTTGTGGATATTTGATGTGCATTCATAAAACACCATACATTTGCAGATATGTTAACTGCTAAGACTATGTAATTAATGCTGTGTGTCATATACGAAATCGAGTAATTTTGTGTCCACAATGTAGGTTCCGTGCAACTTCACCTGTTTTAGTGACGGTTCTTATTCTGTGTGTTGGCTGTAACCTTGGTGCGTATTCAAACGAATTTATAGATGGATGACAGCAACAAAGCTGATTGAACATATTCAACGGTCTTTGCTCAGCAGAAAAACCAATGACTTGTGTCTGTACAGTCGTATTTCAAACAACGTTGTGTGTATAAAATACTGCAAAATGTTTCGTTCACATGATTATTGAAGCACGTATGTTTGTATATATATATATATATATATATATATATATATATTGGTTAGTTATAAGATGACTTACAATAATCACTCTGTAAAATCATATCAGTAATCACTGCCAATAGTGTAGAGTTGATACTTCAGGAAAACTCACTTCACACTTATCCTTGTCCATGCAGAAAATACTTAAAATGCTGCAGACGATTGCAACTGCCATCAATGTGCAGCATAGTGAAAATGCTAGTATCCTCCATTTGCCTGGAGAACCTTTCATTTTAACACCGAATTCAATAGCAAAGATGGTGGTTGCGGCTGACACAATCGCTGCAATAACCCATTCGTACCAGTAACGACAAAAAACCAGTAGTGCGACACCTACAATCATCACGATCAACTAGAAAGTAGACAAGAAATTTGTTGCTTTTTAGTAAGTGCATCGTCGTAGCCATCAACAAGTACTAAAGAATAACTGAACAACAATTTTTTGCAACCATAATATCTGCAAGCTATTCGGTCGTGCAATGATTTGCATGTTAGGTGATGCTTCTTGTTAAGACAAAAAAAGACCAATGCAAACTTTTTATTTTTTAAAAATATATACAAAACCATAACAGGTTTCGGAATCATATTCGACTTACGGTTATGATCATAAAGATGGTATTACTTGTAGATGTCGTGTGCAGTGCTTTTATAAGGATTATGATGAGTGCATAAAAAACCGCGATACCTCTGTATTGTGAAAATAAAATGTACAATGAAAATAATTAAGGTGAAGTACGAGTGAGTATTTGTTCTCTCAAGTACATTCGTGACAAGTGGTCTGCGATTCAGTTAAGCAACATTTTTATACGGATAGGATCAATTTGACGCTTTTATGATGATCAGATATTAGTCAAATATAAAATGCAAACTTTTTCTATTGACATGACTTCCTTGTGATTTTTTTGTATAATTATGTACGGTCGGTTGCAGTGATGATCCAGAAAAATTATGAACAGTATAATTAGGTGAGATTTAAGACTTCAAAAACTTACATTAGAACGAAACCATATGTTTCATGTTGCGGAAGACCGTGAGTTGAGTTAAATCTATCATTTAAAATCTAGAATTCCTAATCATCGTCAGTTACTTACATGCACGATTCTTTCCTGTCACAGATGCTATTTACTTTTTCTTCTGTCATTGCACTGAAACACGAAGTTATCACAGCTGCAAAATTTTTACCGCGTGAAACCAATAACTCCATCTTCTAGTGAATTGTTAGGTACAAAAAATCATTATCAAAGAAAACATGAAAACACTATCTTTCGAACTTCTTTTCACAAAAGTATATGAACAGCTAATTGTCTTAGACGTCAGAAAAGTAGTTCAACATCAGTGACTTATGAACTATCGTGAGCGAATCGTGCCATCGTAGAATATACGTGCTCATTTATATATCCATCTGTCTAACATTATATCCACCTATCTTCCTATCAATCTATCTTTTTATCTGCCAATAGTAAAGACAATAACCCACTGAATGAAATCATCAAAATTATATACGAGGTTATATTATGTTTTAAAATTTACAAACTCACATCACACTTCTGTTTCGTTCGGTAAACACAATTTATTAAAATCAGCGAAATTTTCAGTTAATGAAATTCAGTGCAATCAGCAAAATTTATAACCTCAAACATTAGCATATATCGACTGACATGTGATTACTACATCACTGGACTTTGGAACAAATAACAATGAAAAAATGAAAAAAACAACGCAGTCGGAAGTTGAGTTGTAAATACAGTGAACGTACTGAATGAGCACGTGAAAATACTTTGATAAAGAAAAGAGGAACCATCTTCTTGATCGATTCTACCCTAACTGTCATCGAGAGAATGTAGACATCAGATAAAAAGCTATAAAAACATGAAAAAACTCATTTTTTTGTTACGTATTTGATTATCGAGTAATTTGATTCGTTTTTATCTGCAGTTCTAATATATCATTAACATAAAATTGTGCAAATTTGTTTGCAATGATAATGACAGGAATTCACCGAATATCCAACTACTGGTTACTAATACTAATCATTTCAAAGGTCCTTACAATGATTTCGGGTTTGTTTGACTTATTCGTACTGGTTTCATACTTTTGTAGTAAACACGGTATGTTGATAATCCTAATTTATTCATCCAGTAAACGTCAAGAAGGTATACTTTGTTGATCCCTTTTTCTTTGAACGGTTTCGTTATTCAAACAATCCCCAGAAAATGGATTCCTTTTGGTTGAATAAACCTTTCATTCTATCCTTGATAACGTAAATATCCTACCTTAAGACAATCAGTGTATATGAAAAAGTCTTGATGGTCAGTCGCTAATCGTGTCACTATAACCTTCAACAAAAAACACAACCTTCGTTGCCTTTTGTTTGTGAATGAGTTGAATGAGATTGGTTATTCATTCATTGGCTGAGAAAGGGATCATCATGCATTAGCTGAACTTTGTAAACTTCTTATCTATTCCGACCGATTTCTTCAAAATTTTTAAGTACGACTTCATATCGTAATCAGGTTTATTTTCGTTGGAAATAAAATTTAAAATCTGCGTCAGACGAAAATATTAGAAATTACTTAAGAAAAGCAATATTTGTAGGGTTATTCGGGTAATATTTCTATAACACGTTTAAGTGATACATTTTCATTCCTGCAGTTGATTGTTTCTACCATCTGAGTTCTCATCTATTTTTTACCTTGTCTGACCGTTTGTCCATGCTGTTCAACATCTCATATATATGCTTGATTTAAACATTTTCGTATTCGACATCGAAACGATGAACAAAATAAACAACAGTAAACATAATAGTTACAGCAGCCACAGGAACGATTTTTCTTGTACCATATGATTCACTAATTTCTAATAAATCAAGTGTCATTGATATACTTTTCTGTAGTTAGAGGTTCAACCATTTTCAGAACCCTACCTTTTTATTATTCGTAGTATTCATAGTCCTACATCATGTTCTATTCATAAACTTCAAAATGCTTTCCAAACATACTTTCGTATATAATATTATAATAAAAGATCTTCATCACTTTGACTGATCAAATAATACCTAGAAAGAACTTATATTTTATTGTCATCGCATTTATTCAAATGCAGGCTGTTACTCCAGTTAAATAACTAGTGGTGACAAGATGGTGAATTTTTTTATGTCTTAGGATAAAGGGAAGTAACGGAAAGAAATATTTAAATTATTTAGGTTGATTGTGCATTGAATAAAACAAACATTCGCCGGTCCAATTTAATTATCTAGGAAAAAATGAACACTCAAACTACGTACACGAAAACAAAACCAAAGGTGGTAGATGGTTATTTCGATGAATCATAGATAATATATGATCAGAAATTCTAGAAGACTGCCAAAACTGAAAAACTGATCATCGGACCCTAAAGTACTTACTAAATTTCACCAAGTTTGAGGATAAGTAATGCGGAGTGCCAAATGTAATTTATTGAACCGAATAAATCAGAAATAGACTAACAATTTGTGTCTCACTAATATATTCGCCCCCATATCACGATCATTTGATGTAGTCCCTTTTACATTTGAGCAGTTGAAAGTAACGTCACTTGACAAAAAATATTGAGCAGTATGTGCTCGGCGAACAAATTGTGATGTGATTGTTATATAAGTTGAGATGTCAGTCAGTTAGTGGGTAACAACTTTGAACTTCGTCTGTTCATTGACTGAAATAGCCATATCGCATTAGCATAGAGACAAATTTGCCAGTCCAAATCTCATAGTGGTAAAGGAGAGTAAACAAGATCGAATTATTTATTCAAGAAGTTAACTGTGCAAGGCGAAAATAGGGTTGATAAGTAATTCATAAGAAAAAATTTCATAGTAAGCATCTGTGACGTTGCAAACGATATAATTCAAGGTCTGTAACTATCGGTTATTCCGGGCTTTCGGACCTCAAAAAGGTACATCTACGGACATGACACAATCCACTTGTCCGTCACTCTTTGAAATTGTGCGGTTTAGCCAGTCCGTATTTCCTCCAGCCTTTTTCTACACCCCAAAACACATCTCGTCGAGTACCCGGTGCAGATGGATTTTCTAAACTAGCAGTTCACTTTGTTTCCAATAAGTGCAGGTTGGCACTCGACGTCACAGAACCAATAGCAAAACAAAACAATTCTGGGAGAAATCGGTCTTTTTTCATTCGAAAATGGAAATACAAACATTTTCCAAACAATTGTTGCAGTTTCCAAGTCCAAATTACCTTGATGGGTATCCGCTTCTGGTAGAATAAGTGCTTCCAGTCTAAATGGCTACAGTATCCAATCAAAAATGGCTGAAGCCATATTAAATATCAAATTTAAACAACATATACACAGTTCAGAAGCAAACATAAAAACTTCAATATGAGAGCCTAATATCTTCCTGCTACGGTTATTCCCAAGACAAAAGAAAATTCATAACTCTCATCAATAAAAGGCATCCGTTTAGTTTTCACATGTGTCTGTTACCTCAGGTACAGTTCGGATCGAAATGAGAGCTCAAGGCTGCAAAGAACAACTCAAATTGATCGATCTTATCACAACTATAGCGTAAAGTTGCTTTCAGACGTTTGACTTTTCCTAGGGTATGTGATATAACCCCACTGATATGAATATGGTTATGATTGGTTCGACCAACTAAGATTTGTCGATGTCCCGTATGCCACCTGGTATCGAGACAACTCGAAACAAAGCATATACTAACAAGCTAATGACACAGTTTTAACTATTTTCTAACCAGAATTACGTCAATGTTCTTCCATGAAGGCGACGATTTAGTTGATGACGATGAATCCTAAGAACATTCCATCGATCAAGTTCATACTTACTACCTTTAATATCGGCTCACTACTCTAGTTCAAAGAACGTTTCAGTTATAATTCAGCGATCGTTACTCTGATACGTGAATTGAACTGTCAGTTGGAGAGGAACCCTATTTGTAGCTGGACTAGAATGTGAAACTGTGTTTTGTAAACTCAAGTCCGTTGTTAGCTTGTAATTTTTGTTGCGCTCTGCGATCAATCTATGTAGCTGTCAACGTTTCGTCTATTGGCCCAAAAGCTGCTTTTCCCATCAAATTTCATACTCATCGACAGACCGTTGTTCGCGCATCCATTTGACCTACTTCGGTAGAATAATAATGCAGCATGATGAAGAAAGAAGAATTTTTTTTCTTTTTTTTCCGTCGTTTTCACAAGTGTCTGTACAGTCGAAAATAACGTTTTTAGGTCATTAGTTTAAATCACATTCATTAATTCAGTCATCTTCTTGATATGGTAGTGATCTTGATCTCAAAATATAAGGAACGCTTGTTTAGGTCTCTATTTTTTTGGTATGAACCCTAGATAATTTATCAGGTTACAAGGCGTCTTACCAGTTAACTTGAATGCTGTGGTGTGAAAAGCAGACCAAAACTGGATATAGATCTAAAGATCCGGTTAATGAAAATTGACACTCTTTGCTACTCCCTACAATAGTAGTTTGTCATCCTCAAGATTATCACAGGATCGGTTTTGCTAGCTTGTGGCATTTATCGCGTAGGCAGGATATAAATTTTGTAATCGGAAGAGAAGTGAACTTTGCTTCACTTCGCTCCCAGCTACATGATGAATGTGAAACATTAACAGTGAGAGTCCGAGACATTCGTAAGTAATCAGTATTACATTGAAGATTTCTCATAAGCATTTTTGTTGTGTTTAGGGAAAACAAACTGAGCAGGCCCTTTTTTAAGAACTAGGTGGAGAAATTATATCAATGGAGGAAGTAGTGAAACGTCTTCGGTTGAAGTGGTCGGTACATTTGTTACAATTTCACAAACACCGGCTGATCGACGAGCTGCGTTTTGAGGTGAAGAAATAGGCTGGAAGAAAGCCAGCGGCGGCTGAACCGAAACAATGAAAAATTTCAAGATGTGAGAAACAAGTAGATTTAGTCATGTTGGTAGACGTTTGACGTCTGCAAGAGGAAAGTGAACGAAATTTGGAGTCCTTGAATTACATCGTTTGCAACGTTAAAAGCACATTGATTAGTTGAGTACAATGAAATTTTATTCTCATGAATTAAACATCATCCCTAATTTTAACCTCTATGATTTATTACAACAAACTATGTTATGTGAATGGTTATTTCTTCCTA